TGACCCAGCACGCATGCACACACAAATACACGTACATCCCAACAAACAATTTTCTAATCCTATCACTGTGTATGATGAGCTCTGTTATTTCTTTTCTGCTTCATTTAGTTTCTTCTATTCAATTTTTAACAAATAATATTCATCTCCCTAGTGTGTCCAGACCATGAAATATGGAATATATCCTCCACTTCTATGTTGTCGTTTCCTTGCTTCATTGCTTTCCCTTGTTGTCAAAAATTTCTGTAACAACAGGTTGTCTTCTATGTTGATGAAACGTGTATTTATTCAGCCACCCTTCCTTACTAATCTATCTGGGAGTACCGGAGAGTGTAGAGATTTTACATTCATAGTGATACCACCAGCGGACAAGAAAGATATGGAATGAAGTAAAATCACCTTTATTATCGCTAAGTGTCAGTTAAATGCCTGTAGGAAGTGTTGCTCATCTTTGGGAATGGTAAGTTCTTGAAGAAGGGACCCAGGGGCTCTTAAAAGAGCAAGTAAAGTTTTTCAGATGGAGAAGGGACAAAGATTTCAAATACATCAATAGTTGAAAATCCAAACAAAGAAAAATTAGTAAGTATTGAAGCTCATGTTGCTGGTGAAGCTGAAAGTCAAGTTAAATTTGAGAGATCAGTGTAAGTGGGTACAAGGTACATGATGGTCAAGACAGTGAGGGGTTCATAGAAAGTCACGCCTCGTGTGTAAAGCTACAGATTCTAAAAATTCTCCTAACTGGAGTTCAAGGGATTTGGAAGAAACAAGGACATTTGAGAGGTAGAAAGAACAGTTTACCACATCTTTCATTAGTGATAATTGTTCATTTCTTGACAAAAAGGATCCATGCTCAAATTTTGTGGGCATTGCTTGAGTCTGGAATAATCTGAGGAGGATGGATATTGCTATCCTCAGTATATAAATGAGGACAATAATATTTAGCATAGCTCAGTTGGGTCCCTTCAAACAACTTATATATTTGGTAGGGCTAAGATTCAAAACCTGCTTTTCTGTTCACATGTTATGTAGTTAATATTACTTATCAAAGCCTTTTAACATTTCTTCTTTAAAAATTCATTACTTCTGTTGTACTTTGAGTATCTTTTGTGAGTTTGGGTTCTTAAAATTTTTGCTCCTGTTTATGTGTGGATGTTCAATCTGTAAATCCTGTCACTGTATATGCTTCTCATTTCTCTTTCAGATAACTTGGATCTTTGTTGCTTTATTACTCAGTCTGCACATGAAGGAGATAAAACCAGGGCGGGGACTCCAGCAAAGCCAAGGAAGGTCCCTCTTCATTACAATCTCTCAGCAATCCCTTGAATGCATTAATTAATTTTCATCTCTCTTGCCAATTTCGGGCCTATCTCTGTTGATGGAGCAGATGTCTTATTTTATGTTTCTCCAAATAAACGGTACAAAATGGTCATATCAAGATTATCAAGCACCAAGTTTACCTATTTGTAGGATTTTTTACATCTGCAATTGGAGTATTCTGTGTATTTTTAGGGGAACATAATCTGATGCTCTTAAATCACTTTGTAGTCATTCTTTTCATAACCAGTATGACTGGGGCTTAGGAAATCTTAGAAGTCACACTAAGGAGGCTGTGTGTTTGTGTGTGTGTGTGTGTGTGTGTGTGTGTGTGTGTGTGTGTATGTGTGCGCATGCGCATGTGCATGTGTACATGTTTCTGTGTTATGAGAAGTAAGCTATCCTCAGAGCAGGAATATCTAAGGTCATCTATTCCTTAATGTGACTCAAAATTCAGATGCCTGCTCATTCATGAGCCAATGGAAATGAGCAAAGGTATGTTCAGTTTGAAAAGAAACTAAAGTGGGAGAAAGAGGACGTGATTGAAAGGCTTTATATATATTGAAATTTCAGCAGTAGCAATGAGACCTAATTCTACTCTACTTATCCTGACATCCTCTCAGTGTGTTCCCTGCAGGTTATGCCCATCTATCATAAAGGCTTCTTTTTATCCTTAAACATCTGAAACAAGTGCCTTTTTTTAGGGTCATAACACTGTCTGTACCTCTTTCCAGGCACATGTCACTCCCACTGACCTTTGGAGACTACATCTTGTCTAATTTGAGTTCTCTATTCAAACGTTGCTTTGTCTACTGCTCTTGCTAGAAACGCTACAAAAATAGCACACACTATGCTTGCCTTCTTGTCTGTTTTTTATTCTTTATAGCACTTATCATCATCTTACTAGTTTATTATATGCTTGTTTTCTTTCCCCCTGATAGATTTGAGGCTCTTTTATTTGGCAGTACCTATTATCATTTTCTACAGAGCCTGAGGCATGGTTAGCACCAAGTACATATCCCTTAATTGCATGGAAAAAGTAATACCAACGCTATAGGAGAATGACCTCATGGGGAAAGACTAAGGATGGATGTACATATTTAGAAGGAATGTGGGAATTCAGTAAAGGCGTCCATGTCAAACACAAAATACACAAGCAAATCCTCAGTAAAAATTAAGAATCATGGCACTTTAACTGAAAGAGTAGTACCTGCCTATGTGAATGATGATCATGTTATTTTTCTTTTTGGTGGTACTGTCCTCAAAATGGAGCTAAGAAATTACTCACAAATCTCAGAATTTCTTCTTCTGGGATTTTCAGAGGCAACAGAACTTCAGCTCCTCATCTTTGGACTTTTCCTGTCTATGTACCTAATTACTGTGTTTGGGAACCTGCTCATCATCCTGGCCATCATCTCAGACTCACATCTACACACACCCATGTACTTTTTCCTCTCCATCTTATCCCTTGTTGACATCTGTTTCACCTCCACAAGCATCCCAAAGATGCTGGTGAACATTCAAATGCAGAGCAAAGCCATTGGTTACACAGGCTGCATCACTCAGATGTGCTTTTTATTGTTATTTGCAGGGTTAGATGACTTCCTCCTGGCTGTGATGGCCTATGACCGCTTTGTGGCCATTTGTCGCCCCCTGCACTACACAATCGTTATGAACCCTCAGCTTTGCATGTGGATGGTTCTGGTGTCCTTTGTCATCAGTGCCCTCCATGCCTTGTTACAGGGCTTAATGGTGTTACATCTGTCCTTTTGTACAGACTTGGAAATCCCGCACTTTATCTGTGAACTTAATCAAGTGGTCCATCGTGCCTGTTCTGACACCTTTCTTAATGATGTGGTGATATATTTTGCAGCTGTATTACTAGCCATTGGTCCCCTTGCTGGCATCCTTTATTCTTATTCTAAAATAGTTTCCACTATTCGTGCAATCTCTTCAGATGAAGGGAGGCTTAAAGCATTTTCCACCTGTGGATCTCACCTCTCAGTTGTCTCTTTATTCTATTGTACTTGCCTAGGTGTGTACCTTAGTTCAGCCACAGCACACAACTCACACTCAACTGCAGCAGCCTCAGTGATGTACCTGGTGGTTACACCCATGCTGAACCCCTTCATCTACAGTCTGAGGAACAAGGACATTAAGAGTGCTCTGAAAAGACTGCTTGGGATTAAAAGTAGAAATGTGGCAATTTTAGGAAGATGCAACAAGTGACCATGCCTGCAGGGTTTGACTTCTTGGAGCCAGGGAATGTGATTCTTTGGTTAGACTGTGGAAGTGGAATCAGATCCTCCTTGTTATTTCCTGTGATTTCCATTTCTTTGATGTCAACTTCTCTGCCTGATTTAATTAACTCATTTTTTCAGAAAAATAATTTGTTAATTAACTTCCTGGTGAATTGTATGGCATTTCCACACCTTTAATTAATTAATTTTTTTAATTAACACCTAACAAATTACATAATAAGAAGCACAATCTGGTAATTCAATATATATAAGTAGGTAATGATTAAATCGAGATGATTAGCTTTTTCAACTCCTCATCATTTTCCTTTTGTTTGGAGAACGCAAACTACTCTCTTTTTGTTCTTCAAAAAAAACATAGCACTGTTTTTAAATACAAGTGTTTTTATTCCTTCTAAGACATAATAGCTGTTTACCCTTGGCACTTTCCATCTTTTGTACTGTTTTTCCTAATGTTACATCAGAAACAACTGAAAATTGGTATTTATACCATAAAACAATGTGAATTTTCACCCCACTCAGGGATCGGTGGTAATTTCTTCTCAAGTAGCACTTGTCATACCAATGATTTTGTTTTACAGTTTTGTCCCTCAGAAATATCCATGAGTTTTACTACTTCTATGGAGAAAACCCAAAGGACAAATATAGAATTTTATAATGTAAGAAAATCTGTGCTAATGCAGGAGGCTCGCTGTGAGTTCAAGACCATCCTGGGCTACATAGTGAGTTCCAGGTCAGTCTCAACTACATAGTGAGACCCTGTCTCAAAAAAAAAAAAAAAAAAGAAAAGAAAATCTGTCAGAGAAGATTAAAGTTGTGGAAGAAAAGAAATTAAGAAAGGAATTAAGATGTGTTCTGTACATGTACCAATTCTCTATGAGAAATGTAGACATTATGTTTCCATTTTTTCCTCATTAATTTCATTCCCTTTTTCCCCTACCCTGTCCACTTCTCCTTGCATTCTGCACCTTTTATTCCTATTTCACATTATTAAAATTAATTTTTAAAATATTGTAAAAAGAAAATATGAGGGTCTAGTTTTTATTTTCTATATCATTACCTTCACTGCTACTCCTGAAATATAGACTTGGCATTGTATTGTACTTTGAGTGGACTCACTGGTTTTCATTGTCTTATGAGAATCCTGTTATTCTCTTAGTGAGCTCTAGGTCCTGTGCAGTCATTGGGAAACTCTTGTCCTCATATATGTTTTTTCAAGTAGAGCACGCACAAGTGACAAATATGGACCAGTCAGTAGCTTCACATAATATGTCCTTAGAGTAAGAGGTCACTCTAAACTCAAAGAACCAAAGTTTATTTAACATACTAAAATATTATGAAAAAAAAGATTTATTTTTCATGCTATGCATTTACTGGTTAATGCTTGAAAGATGGGTATCTGTATGAGGAGCTTATTCATTGGCATACACGTTAGTGGTATGTGGGTTTTTTGTTATTATTGGATTGTATTCTTCTTTCTGCTTCAATACTTCTCATGCTCTCTACAAATATAGCTCCCTGTATTGATGCTGTTAACCTGTAAGTCAAGATGAGGCACACTGAAGATGAGAAAAAGTGTTCATTCAAGCAAAAGTGAAGATGCATGTTTGCTCAGAAAAAGTGTTCAGAAACGTCATATGACTGGGCTGCTTTTATAGATTTAAAAGGATTAAGGAAGGTCACAGCAAGTTGGTTGTTACAATAACACTGATCAAAAAGAATAAAACAGTTTGCTTATTGGGTTTTGGTCATTTATGATACTCAATCCAGGGAGGGGATGATAATATGTAGAAAAAGACATTTACTAGGGTTTTTTATGGTTTTTGTGGTATCAGAAATCCACCGTGCTATTACAATAACACAGGTAACTCTGTCTCATGACTCATTTTATCCCTGGGGCAAAAGAATTGTGTGACTTCATTCTTGTCACACATTAAATCCTTTCTCACTGTCAGTAATATCAACCCCTTTTCTAAACTTTGGCACAATCACTAAAGGGATCGTGAGTGATAATATCCAGTATCATCCATTACATATCTCCTTTATGCCTAGGAATCATGGTGAATGATTACTCTCTTAGTCAAAGCATATTCTTATATTAATAGCTTCCTTTATAAAAGATACATTAATTCTCTTACATAGCTGTTTCTCTTATTTCTAAATGTTATAATTACACATGTTACTTACAACTTTAAACTCTTGTTAACTTGAATTTCTTTTGTAAAAATTTTACTAGTACATGTTTGCAATGCATAATGATCACATTCAGTGTAAGAAGTTGATACATGCATATAACATATCTTAATGTTTTTCATAAACTTTCCTCCACTCTTACCAACTCCCTCTGTTTCTTGGCCCTCTTCCTTTTACAAGAGATTTATCTCCCTATTTCCTGTTATCATTTATGTTGCTCTTTAATTTATTTATATTTTAGGTTACTCATATAAATTATGCAATATTTAAACTTGTGCATCTCATTTATTTCACTTAGTATGATCTCAAGGCACATCAATTTTAAAAATAGATCAAAGTTCTCAGTGTTAAAACTTCAATTTCTAATAAAAACATAAATAGTTAGAACTGTTTTATAACACAATTTTTTAGATTAATATGATTCTATAAATTTTAGAAATAAATTTTCTGACATTTTTCAATGTTCATTATCAGACCAAATATATTTAGTTTGTCTATACCTTTTAAGAACAAGATTCCAATGTATAAATATCATATGTTGAATAATTAATAATTAGGATATTTGTCTTTGAGGATTTTTTCTATTTCTAAAGTTGGAACACAGACACTTATGCATGCTAAGCATTATACATAACCTATTAACTACACTTCCTAGTATTTAAGAATTTTAACTAACTTATAATAACTCAGATATTTTGTGAATACTTATTACTACTTAAACAAAATGACTAAAATTTCAAGTCACTAGGTCAGATTTTTGAAGCTATGATAAGTTAATTTACAAATTTTAATCTTATTCTTACCCCATTTACTCAAATAGTTTTCTAAATTTTTATTAGCATATGTTTGAAATACATAATAAATACAGTCACTGGGGGTAGTTAGTACATGTAGAATCTTGATGATACTTTTTCCTTGTTGTTCTCCTCTCCTTCTGATTTCTCCCCATCACCAGATCCCCTTATCATCTCTACAAAATCTATCTCCCAACAATTATCCTTAGATTCCTCATTAACCAAAGATAGCCATTAGAAGAATTCAGAAATACCATTTCAAAATATATTACTATGATACATTGATTTATTAAAGATAAGGACATTTGAAAAAATAGAAAAAGAACAGGGCAAATATCTGATTTTTCCCTTCTCAAGAAAGATCCTTCAAAAAGAACTCAATGATTATCAATTCTCTGAAAATGAACTCATCACAAGACAGAAGGCTAGAAGTTGACATCACGCTCAGATAGAATTTATCTAAAATCATCATTTGTTCTAAAGGCAAATTCATCTTTCTCCAAAATCATTCACAGTAGACAAATCTCTTTTCTGTTTTGATTATTGGCAAAAAAGGGCTACTGTTTCAAAGAAATCATTCTGGGGCAAAAAGATAGAAACATGAAATTCTCTTATCAGTTAGTTGCTTAAACTTTCATTTGTCTTCTAGGAGCCAGATAAAGGGGAACAACTATTTTAAGTCTATTAGAAGTTTCTCCAAATCAATAAGTATCATATAGGTGGCCTTATTTCCAGAGCCCTCATTTTTAAGAACATTTCTTGTTCATTAGGTTATCCCACTAATAGAAATTAAAATCCTGAACTAACTTTTAGAAAGATTTGCATTTCTTTTATTTTCAGCTTCCAAAGGCTAATACATAAACATGCAAAAAGGTGTAATATTGTGGAATTAATTTAGTTTGCCATAATTTATTATGCATTGAATAAGGAGAAGGAAGCTGAAGACTTCAAACATAATGCACTGATGAGATGAAAATGTTAACTGCACTGATTTAACTGACATATATTGTCTTATATATGTATTAAAGCATCACACTGCACCTCAAAAATATGTATAATTATTGCATTTTAATGAAAAATAAGTGTTTAAAGAGATGAAAACAGGAACTGCCTTGATGTGGTCATTAAATATTATATTATATACAGATATTGGAATTTCACATGGCATCCTATAAATTTGCACCGTACAATAATTTTTAAAAGAAATTAAGGATCACATACCTCAATTTGGATTGTGAGTCCCTAAAAACTGAGGAAAAAACTCAAAAGAAACTCCACCATATTGGATTGTGTGCAAGTTAATGACCAAACTAAGGTGAAGGCTGACATTTTAAAAAACTTGTTATAGTAAAACACATATTGCCAATAATGCTCTCAAAATACCTCCCTTGATTTGAATACACTGAACCCATTGTTTTTGCCACTTTGTGAAGCAGCTTTTTTGTCCCTACCTTTAGTTGTGCTGTCATGCATCAAAACGTTCTCCTTTTCTTTGAGGAAGAGCCAGAAGTTGCACAGTGCTATACCAAGTGAATAAGATGATGAGGACACACTGCCAGCTTTTTATGAGCCTGTCTTTCCATTGGATGACACTCACCAGTAGCATTCACAGTATTTTTTCTCACACCTCATAATGGCACTCAGGATAAAGAACTTCCAGAACTTCTCCAGAATGAGATAACGATGATGTTATATTTGTTCTTGAAATGAAGGGGAATATTTTGCAGGGGATTCAAGGCAGTATGTCTCTTGTGGCCATAAATATATATTTTTTTAATTTTTCAACTCACTATATATCTAGAAAATGTCCTTAATGTTTTACAGTGTAACTCAGTGCAGGTATATTTTCTTGAGGCTACTGGATGGCCTGCTGTCAAAATAATGCATCCCATGGTTAGCTTACACTAATACAGGAGTTTTACGTATAAGTGCTAAGTTTTATAACAACTCTTAAATAGCTCACTTGTGCCCACTAGTGAAGATGTGGCTTAGGCTCTGAGATGACCTTGACTATCTTATCCAACCATTGCCTCTATGAAAGTATGCAAGAAAAATAAATGAAGGTGGGAAAACTCCAATTCTAGGGAATTTCTGAAAGCCATAATCACACATCTGCTGTGGTAAATTATGGCCACTATCACTTACTTGGCTAGGGCGTAATTGGAGCATTTTCCAGAGGCCCAGAAGTTAAAGGCTTGACACGCAGAGTGGTGCTATTGGGAGGCAGAACCTGGTGTGAGGTCTTATGTCATTGGAGTTAAGATCTCAAATGAAGCCTCGCCACTCCACTCTCCTCCCATTCCTGGCTCAAGATGTGGCCCCCTGCTTTAAAAGTTGCTCCCACTATAATAAATTACAATAATAGGAACTAGACCAATGCAGATGCCTAATCTTGGACTTCAAGTTCTAAATCACAAGCTAAAATAAAACTCTCTTTGCCTCATAAATAGCCACTGCCATGTATTCTGTTAAAGTGATAAAAAGGTGACTGATGTAGTTAGTTATCTTTTAAAACTGGAGATATTATCAATGACTGGTCAACCACTGCAAATTTTTAAAAAGGTGTTTTGAAAGGGAGGATTCTGCTGCTTGTGACAAAAGTATGAACGTGGATAGTATTGTGCTCGGTAGAATAAGGTAAATGCAGCTGGGCATGGTGACACATGCTATAATCCTAGCACTAGGGAGGCTGAGGCAGGAGGATCACTATGAGTTAGAGACCAGCCTGGGCTACACAGTGAGTTCCAGGGCAGTCTCAAGTACATAGTGAGCTCCTGTCTCAAAAATGAAACAAAAGAAAAATGAATAAGTTAAATACATAAAAATGTGATATTTGTACACAGTGGAGTACTACTCTGGCATTAAGAAGGAAAATCTTCAGTCATTTGTAGGAAAATGGATGCATCTTGAGACCATAACATAAATCAGATACACAACTTTAAAATCACATTCTTTCTTATATGAGAATCCTAGAGTGAAAATAAAGTGCAAAACAAATGATAGATAACAGAAAGTAGAAAAACAGTGCTAACTCACAAAAAGGAATCAAGAGATAGAGAGGGGAGGGAAAGGGAAATGGAATAAAAAGGAATTTGGATGTCTTATTCACATACACTAACTTCTCCCAGGGAATGCAAACTTTACTTCTAATGTGTGCCAAAATAAAATATGTGTGCATGCACACTTCAAAAAAATGAAAAAGCTAGACATAGAAATAAGAGCATCATATGATCTTATTTATACAAAAAATCTTTAAAAAGTTAACTATATACATAGAGTAGAACTATGGTTCTGTGGGGGAAATGAGGTAGGAAACTGAAAGGAGAGCATTCAAAAGGTACACAGGTATATATAAGTAAGATGAGTAAGACTAGATATTGAATGTATGTACATCATAAGGACTATAGTTAATAATATTATGCTATATAGTGTAATTATTCTAAAAGTAGAGTATAAGTTCTTTCCCAGTGAAAGTCTGTACTACTTGATGTGTTGAACTTAGAATTTTTAATTTGCATTGACCAAAATAGTATTTTGGAATGAGGAGTGTCCCTCAAGGGAGTTTGACATGTTTTTACTTCTTGGCAAATCTGCCTCTAAATGTGAACAAGTCCATGCTATCCTGAGGATGGGTGAGTAGACATGTGGAGGTGAGCTCAGACAACAAATCCATAGACCCCCTCCACTTGCTTGCTGCCTCAGTCCATACTCAAAAGTATGAGATTAAACCAAGACTAGATAAGGCAACCATAGGTGAGGCACAACTGATATAGACTCACGAAAAATAAAAAAAATGAAGAAAAGAAGAAAAGTAAACAATAAAGACTAAATTACATTCATTCCTAATATAGCACCTCAGGGATAAGAGGCTTTCTCTTAACCATTTACTTTGGAGTCAGCTTTCATAGCAAAAACTTACTCATACAGAAATCAAAATAATGAAGAGCAGACTACTGCTTCATACTTTTGGCATTTGTTCTGGTATTTGAACGTAGCATTCATGATGATTTCATATTTATTTTGGATAAGTTTGTTAAAGAGAGACTGCAATTTAGATTCTTTTCTAGGTAACTGGGAGAAGTTAGAAAAACATATATTTTCAGGAATAATTTGTTAACTTGAATCTTAAGTGTCGATCTCCAAGGGCATGACTAGGCAAGAATTCAAGGCCTTACATTAGTAATCCTTTATCATGAGAATAGAAGAGAATTTCAGGCATAAAAGCCAAACTGATAAAGAGATAAACTGATGTATATGTCACTTACTCATCACCACTTTAATGTATATAGCAAGCTTTTATAAGGGGTAGGGCTGGGGATCTAGCTCAGTGGTTCCACCTTCTGCCTCACAAATGTAAGGTCCCAAGTTCCATCCTTAGTACCAAATAAATAAATAAATAAAAATTTTAAAAAAACTTTTATAAGGGGGAGGTATTTTGTGTATGACAGTGCAAGGAGGCATTTCTATGCAGCGATGGAAATCCTCAAGGAGGAAGAGAAAGATGACCCAATGAAACAAGCTAGAAAGTAACTCTGAGCACTTCAGTATAAGAAAAGGGAAAGGGAACATTACCAGAGATCCCTGAAGGGGCCCGACTCTCCTACAAGCCATAACAACATCCATGAGACTGAAAATGGGAAATAGAAAAAACACAGAGACTTGAGAGAAACCAAGCCTTGTCTAATTTAAACTTCTCTGAGCAGCAAAGACAGGGAACACCCTGGACATATGATGTATATTCATTACAAGCATGGGACAGGGATAAGCTGGGCAGGCCCTGGGAAACTTGCTGACAACAAGTCTTAAACAGGCAAGTTTTTAGAATAAGGGCACAAGTATTTGCTGAAGAGAACAAATCATTTATGTAGAGGGGAAGAGCTTAGGTGAAGTCAGTTGACATTGACTGGGAGTGAACTTAGCCAACCTCTGCTACATCCAATGTAACACAGATGAATTATGGAGGGGCAAGAAGCTTGAGCAAAAGGTCAGAGGTCTCTGCTATAATTCAGTCTCATGAACAAACTTCCAGGATGTGGAATCCAAGCTTCCACACTTCTATGAATATATGCACATCATCCATAATGTCTTCCATATAAATTCAACATATTACTGTAAAACTTTGCTCCCTCTTTGTAAACTACTTTTTGACTCCAAGACCATATTAAGTCAATCAGTTCATCCAAATTTGTCTTTCATGTACATGATACATGATGTTTGCCTTACATCACACTGCAGGCTGATATAGAAGGCAGTGTAGACTGTAAAATGAATAAGGTATATGATGATAAAGAGGAGAATAAAACCTCGCGACCAAATGTAGAACATATATCTATGTTAAGATTTACATTATCTAAGAGACAAAGCAGGGAACAAAGAACACAAAAGTGGAAAAACAGTGGTTTCAGATTGTTCTCTACTATAAAGTTATGTCAGTGATCATAATTGCTAAATATAGTTTACAATAGTAATATACCTAATAATTATATAAGATAAATGGGAATAACACAATTCTTCTCATCCAAAAATTTTAATCACTTTGGAAAATCCTGAAAAATAACAAAATGCAAAAAATTGTTGGATATCAGAGAGCAGAAAATGACTGTATATCAGAGAACAGAAAATCACTATACATCAGAGGAAATTGCCTAAATTACATAAAGTAACTAAAGTCAAAGAAATTGGTACTTCTGGAAGTGAATTAAAGAGAAAGTCCCATTTCTATGATTTGATTAAAGAATCATAATTACTACTACTGAGGATTAGAACTCTGTATTAAATAGCATAGGTTTAACAAGAGACTTTTCTATTAAAACATGATGGCAGTAAATGATGACTCCATTCGTTATGAGTAGTTGGTACATGTACATAACACACCTAAATTATTTTCTGCCTACTGACCCTATCCTACCTTCCCTTTCCTCTCTCTCCATTGTTTATCCCCTTCCTTTTTTTCTATTTCTCCTCAGAGCACTCTTGATATCTTTATTCCTCAGACTGTAGATGAAGGGGTTCAGCATGGGTGTGACCACACTGTACATCACCGAGGCTGTTCCACTTGAGTGTGAGCTGTTGGTTGCAGCAGAACTAAAGTACACTCCTAGGATTGTACAATAGAAGAGGGAGACAACTGAGAGATGAGATGTACATGTAGAAAATGCTTTATATCTCCCCTGAGCTGATGAGATTGCACATATGGAGGAAACTATCTTGGCATAAGAATAAATAATTCCAGTCAGTGGGCCACCACCTAGCAACACAGATGTAAAATACATCACCAGATCATTAGGAAAAGTGTCAGAACAGGAACGTTGGACCACTTGATTCAGTTCACAGAAAAAGTGTGGGATGTAGAAAATGCTTTATATCTCCCCTGAGCTGATGAGATTGCACATATGGAGGAAACTATCTTGGCATAAGAATAAATAATTCCAGTCAGTGGGCCACCACCTAGCAACACAGATGTAAAATACATCACCAGATCATTAGGAAAAGTGTCAGAACAGGAACGTTGGACCACTTGATTCAGTTCACAGAAAAAGTGTGGGATTTCCAAATCTGCACAAAATGACAGCCGCAGCACCATTAAGCTTTGTAAAAGGGCATGCAGAATACTCATGATCCAACATGACACAAGCATCAGCCCACAGATGCAAGGATTTATGATGGCTGTATAACGCAGGGGGTTACAGATGGCCACAAAGCGGTCATAAGCCATCACAGCCAGGAGGAAGTTTCCCAAGCTTGCAAAGAGTATGAAAAAGTGCATCTGTGTGATGCAGCCTGCATAGCTTATGATTTTGTTCTGTGTCTGCATATTCTCCAACATCTTGGGCATGGTGGTAGAGGTGAGACAGATGTCAGCAAAGGACAGGTTGGAGAGGAAAAGGTACATGGCTGTGTGCAGGCGGGAGTCTGAGATGGTGGCCAGGATGATGAGCAGGTTCCCAATCATGGTGGTCAGGTACATGGTGAGGAAAACCCCAAAGAGGACAGTTTTCAATGGAGGTTCCTCTGAAAATCCCAGAAGAAAAAATTTTGAAGTCCATGTATTGTTTTTCAGTTCCATGTGGTTAATGTCACTATGAGAGGAGAGAGAGAGAGAGAGAGAGAGAGAGAGAGAGAGATTACAACCCTATCATAAATGCTGTTGTTTGTGTTCTACCGGCAATAAATTTTATTTGGCATATGAATCTGTTCTCCTTTGAGCATACACTTGCCATATCTGATGAAAAAATTCCCTTCCTGCTTTCACTACCCCCTAGAGGTCACGTATTTTATAAGTGTAATGAAAAACTTTCTTATGCACTGAAGGATATAAATCAAAGCAAGACTTGTTCTAGGAACAGTTAGGTGGTGTGTAAATAATGCAGAAACAAAATAAATGCCTGTACAATTTAAAGATAGAAAAAGAAAATAAGAAAAGAAAACGTATAATATACTGAAAGGTAGCATGTATTAGGCAATAAAAAGAAAAAGAGGTAAAAAGAAGAGATTAGATAAGTGTTCTGTTTTGCTTTCTAAACTAGGATCCAGGCGACAACAGTACACAACTTAACTTTTAAACAAAGATCTCCAGGAAGACAAAGCATGGGCCAAAAGTTCTGTTGGGAGGTGTGCATCTGCTGGGGAGAAAGGACAGTCCGAAAAACCTTGAGAAAGGTGTATCTTCTAGAATTTCCAGGCCAACAAGTAGCTTGGCAAGTAAGAGGGAGGGAAATGGCTCAAATGAGGAGGAGGACAATGGTAGTTTCGTAGGAGCTGAGAGTAGAAGAATGACTATCAGAGATTGAGAAGGATACAGGGATAGGGGAAAAGTGTGGACATTAGTGAATAGGTACTAAAACAGAGTTAGATATAAAAATATTTTCTAATGCTCTGTAGCATCACAGCATGACTATAGTTAGCAATAATATTTGTACATTTCAAATAGCTAGAAGAGCAGACTTTGATTATTCCCAACAACAACAACAACAAAAACAAAATGGTACATGCTTAAGGTGACAAATACAGTAATTTCCCTTAATGGACATGCTCTATACATGTATCAAATTCCATTTCTTACCATAGAAAAATACACAGTCATGATATGTTAATTAAAATTTTAAAAGCTATTAAAAAGGAGTTTCTCATTTTAGTTTCATGTACACCATTAATTTTTATAGGGCAGATCGTAAAATTTAGTTTTGTATTTGTTTCTAGAGGCAGTATAGGACTGGAGATTTAGCTCAGTGGTTTCAGCTCCTGCATCGTAAGCACAAAGGCTGGAGCTCAATCCCCATTACCAAAGAAAAAAACAAAAATAGATAAATACATACATACATACATACATACCATGGTAAGAAAAATAGACTAAAATATGAATAAACACAAAATAAAACAAATTTATTATGAGAAAATGAAAAAATGGAAATAAAGTTTTTGGAAATAGGGGAGGAGGGGGTGAGAGTTGGGTAGGGGTAAGGGGAAAAAATGTGAACCAAGACCTGTTATGTAAAGGTATGAGATCCCAATGATGAATGTAACTGTACTGTATACCTAAAAATGTACCAACAAACTCAGTGAGAAAAAAAAGAGAGGAAGTATATAAAGACCTTAGATCATAGAGCTTGAGAGACTTACTGAGTACAAAAATGTGAGCCCCACTAAATATATTTGTTGTTCTTATACACAAAAATAAACTCTCAAAGACACATTTTCTTTCTTTCTTTCTTTCTTTCTTTCTTTCTTTCTTTCTTTCTTTCTTTCTTTCTTTCTTTCTCTTTCTTTCTTTCTTTCTTTCTTTTTTCCTTCCTTCCTTCCTTCCTTCCTTCCTTCCTTCCTTCCTTTACTTTTCTTTCTTTTTTGTGCTGAGGATCAAACTCAGGACCTTGCGCTTATGAGGCAGGTGGCAACAACACTGAGCTAAATCCCTAGCCCTAGACTCAATTTCTTTAGCTGTGAAAGATGATAAAATGTTACCCATCTCATAAGAATCTTATCAGAAGTAAATGAGGAAATATAAATAAATTAAATTTCATTTTCAAAATTGATGAAAGATCTCAGAGAATGCTGAAGGATGCTGTGTTTAAGTCTAAAGGAAGTCAAATTATTATATAAAGTAACAGTCATTCTCCTATGTTTATTTCAGCATGATTCACAACCTCAAGATACAGAAAAAACCATGATGTCCATCTATGGATGCATAGACAAAGAGTATGTGTCTATCAAAGCAAGGATACACAAAAGGCATGATACAATGATATTTAGTGATATCGATGAATGATATTCTGCAATTTATAGTAATACAGATGAAAATGGAGGTCGCTTGGGAAAATTAAAAAACATAACCATAGAAAGGCAAATATTTCAAGCTGTCTTTATGTCGAAGCTGAAAAACTTGATCTTACGGATAAAAAGTGAAATAGTGGCTCCTAAATATAGGGAAGTATGGGAGGGAGAAAAGATGGAGACAGTTAGATAAGGAGCAACCAAACTGCAAAATAGGAAGAAATCGTTCTTATATTCTATGACACAATAGGCAAACTTTAGTCCCCAGCAATCTATGACACAGTTCAAAATAACTCGATGATATTTTTTCTTTTCCCTTATTTCCCCTCCCCTACCCTTCCTCCACACCTTTAACCCTTTTCTTCCTATTTTGCATGGTCAATTATATGATTAGGATCTTTATTTACAATTATAGATTTTTACACCAGAGAAACTATTTCATATGTACACTTCTGCGACTTATTTATTTCAATTAAGAATATAACCTAACCTCAATATGCATCCATTTTCCTAAGAATGACTCTAAAATCACATTCTTTATGGCAGAGTAGTATTCCATTTTATAGAAAAAACCACATCTTCTTTATCCAGTCTCCAATTGATGGGCAAAATGGACTGTTTAAGTTTTTGTAAATACGTAAGGGAGGAGGGGGTGAAAAGAGGGTTGGGGCATGGGCAAAAAATGAGAACCAAGACCTGTTATGTAAAGGTACAAGATTTCAATGATGAATGTAAACATACCATATTTCTAAAATGTATCAATAAAGTCAATGAAGAAAAAAAATAAATGGATGATTCTAAAGTTTCCCAACACATATAAATGAATATCTCTATGCTAATTATCATGATTGGGACACTATATACTATATATCTGTACCATAAATAGGTATGTATTAAATGTATGTTGATTTAAAAATATTTTGAAAACCAATTATACATGAATTTAAGAGCAAAAAAAAGGCAGACTTTTTAAATAGAGATAGGGAATAAAGGACAGGCAGGAGGTAAACATAGATGGAAATCAATTAACCGATGCTGTATATATGTTCCAATCTCTAAAATGAATGTGAACTTCATATATTGAACATATATGTCAGTAAAAATATTATGGAAAGAAAGCCTTTTGTTGTTTAAATATCAAGACAAAAGAACTATCTGTGCCCATTGTTTGTGTGTTTGCACTATATTAAGTTGGCTACAAAATTTCCCTCGAATTAAAGTGAATTTCCTTTTTATTTACATCTGTTTTCTGTAGTTTTGGCCTCTCCAGTATGAATCCCTATTTAAAATACAGATATACTTTAATTATTGCAGTTTTATCCTGATAACACTATTGTTTTATAATTGAAAAATCCACCTGCCCCACCAAGCAGCCTAGCTAAGCAACACAGCACCCCACAGTGTCACTTGTTTAGCCTCGTGATGATGTGGCCAATCGAGAGTGTGGCTTGCTGTCAGTACTCAGCATCACGAATGACTAATGTAAAACATATCACACTATTGGAAATGTCAAAGTTCAAAGTGAACTTGCTGTGGAATCACTTTTTCATCATCATACATTAGAAAACTGGAAGGGGATCAGAAGATAAAGGAAGAAGTGGGGGGAAGAGAAAGAATTCAAGTGTGTTATGTAATTGTACCAACTCCCCACAATGAATTTAAGCATCATATCTTTCAAACACATACTAATTAAATTTAGGAATTGTTTTATGAAGAAAAAAATAAACTAAAACCATAAGTTGAAAAGTGTTACATATTAAGACCAGGTAATCAGCCTCTGAAACCTGTTATCATCCCTAAATATACACACACATAATCTCTCTCTCTCTTTCTCTCTCTCTCTCTCTCTCTCTCTCTCTCTCTCACACACACACACACACACACACACAAACACATCCCTAGCTCATGTAAAAGTGGGACACAATGCGTTCACCTCATGCCCTTCTCATTCCCTGCAAAGCTATTAGAAAGAAACACACTTGATCTTAGCCAGAAGGCTGTGATGTAATTATTAGAAAGAAATAGGTTACAAGGTGAGCTATGAATATCAGATTACTTTTCCCCAAACAATGTACAAATGGTACCCAGAAATGGTACTCAGTTTGTCAATCTCCCACCACATGTATCCTTAGTGTTTTAATTTGGTATGTCTATTATCTGCCCTGTGTTGAAAGAAACAAAAAATATGCTTGGTAAACAGGCAGAATTGTTAAGTGAACCCAAGGGAGAAAGTATCTAATGAGCTCAGGGAGCCCGTGAGAGACTTCAAGAAAGGAAAACACACTTTTCTGGCAGCATTTCAACTCCTACTATCGCCCCTTAAATCTAGCAATAGTAATAAAAGATTGAAAATAAAGAAAAAGGGAATATATAT